GGGGGGGGGGGGGGGGGGGAGGGGGGGCTTCGTGTCGGTCGTTGAGCGATCTGGGCGTCTTTGCCCGAATCTGTAGCATTGGAAACATCGTGTTCCCTTTTTTGTGAGCTGCAAAACCTTTCCGCAAACAAGACCATCCATTGTCTACGAAGAAGAACGACCATCGTCTACGAAGAAACGTCTTGTAACGAAGAGAAAGAAACATCGTCCGGTCTCAGCAGCTAAGCTCTTCGTGCCACAGAGATATCACGTCGACAACCTTCGGAAATCGGCCATTCCAGGGAGGAGGTCTGTCACGCAACCGCCTGCGGCACAAGCTACGTTTCATTTAGCCCACCGTCGGAAGCAGCCGATGCCCTCTGGTTTGCCGTCCCTGAACTCTCCCTGCAAGGTATCGCCGCCTGCTCCAGATAGGAAACCCACGCCGTGTATCTTTCCGCGGTGGAACTCGCCCTCGTATCGGTCTCCATTGGGGTGTGTCAACACCTTGTTGTTGTTGTTGTTGTTGGTCGTGGTGGTGGTGGCGTTGCTGTCATTGTTGTGTTCACATTGAAAACCGTGCCGTTCTGCGCTCAGTCCTTCTTTCAACACCCGTACCGGTCCAACTCCTTCCGTCGTCGCAGGCCAACTACAACCGCAAAAAATGGTACACACTTCCAACAAATCAAAGAGAACCTAAAAGGAGGTCCGAAAACAATAAAACAACCAATAACAGTAGTTCAGTTTCCGGCTTGGATTTTTGTCGTGAAGCCGGAATGTGGATCTCCTCTCTCGTTTCATTTTGCTTTCTCTTTCGTGGGATGTACACGTGGACGGTGGAGAACGATGTCGCGACTACTCACTCACCCCGTACCCCTCGCGGACGTTGCCGGCCCACGAGCCCACGTACTCCCTCCCGTCTGCGCTGCGGAAGATCCCGGCACCGTGCCTCACCCCGTCTACCCAGTCACCCAGAAACACGTCTCCGTTCGGCCAGGAGTAGACGCCGTACCCCTTGCGTTATTTTTCAAAGGGGGCGTCGCAAGTGGGGCATGGGGGGGGGGGGGGGGAGGAGGTACTGGGAATGTTTTCTTATTCTGAGTCGCGAAGTTAGGGCGGGTGGGATCCTGGCCCTTGTTTGGTCCGGCCGAGTAGGGCTGGCCATTGTTGTTGTTGTTGTTGTTGTTGTTGTCTTCACATTAAACTCGTGTCAGTTGCTAATCCCAAAATCTAGCAAAGACGCGGTCCGTGGTCACAAAAATGCTAGTGTACCGTGCTTTGAACATGCATGTCACTTGCCTTTTTGTGTTGTGGCGAGGATAAGCAGAAAACGCAAACGGAAACATAACACACTATGAGTCCATCGCGAGTTTTTCCTGGACATGAATGCAGACGAACATGTAGGGTTTCTGTATACAAAAAAGGAACACCCACGTTTGCTGTGTTCTTGTCGTTGCACCCTTTGTCGTTACTGATATCTGTCCAAACGAATCCGTCCACTGAATATTGTGTTTTGCTTTCTGATGCCTGTGTCTTTTCGAATCTTCATAAGCTCGATTTCATGATAGACGAGGGCAAGAAGCAGGGAAGTCCTTGCCGCGACAATAATCAAAATGACACACCGCTGGAGAAAAGGCGGAGAAGATCAAAGAGAAAACAAATGCATGGTCCTTCCAACTGTACGACCCCGGCTGATACGTCCACAAACTAACCGCAAGGTGTGAACACTGACGTCCAGAATGAAATGGGATGACACGAACACTAGCTGCCCTATTTCAATAAAGGCGAGAGACACCAGAAGCGGCTACGTGCGCGACAGACCAGCGCAAGCTACTCGCACGGCCGTTTGCTGGTAGGTACAGTAGCGAAGTATCTTCTCCTTCCCACCCTTCCCTTGCCGCGAGCTTCCAAAACCCAACCACGCATGGAACAGACACAGCAGTCATCAACTGTTCTGGTAGCAACGGGAAAACAACGCACCTGCTTGTTCGATGGTGCTGTGAAACTATTGAGCTGCGACAACAGCACGGCCTGCCTACAGAGAAACACACCTTCAAGCTAGTCCAAGGTATGATCATGGGGCCATCACCACATCCACCTTCCACCCCAATCTCACCCCGCCAGGCCACCCCCCCGCTCTATATCCCCGCCGGGAAAAATTCGGCGAAAAGCACACCTGGAAAACCTCGTTGACCACCCTGCCCTTGAGCGAGGCCCCGCTGGGGTACACCTTGGTTCTGTCCCCGTTCCTCCTGGGGTAGATCCTCGCCACGATCTCGTCCGTCGACGGCCTCACGTACGGGTGGTACATCTTGCACCCTTGACCGGAGGGGCACGGGGGTTCCCCGTCCCCGAATGCCGCGGCCAGGGCAAGGGGACATACCTTGGGGGGGGGGGGGGTGCCGACGCCGCCGTCACCCATTCTACGCAGCAAGCTCTCGACATCGTCGTCGTTCTCCACACCACTGCCGTAGGTTTGCTGTTGGAGGGTCGCGGAAGAAGCCACGGTAACAGTCTGCAGGGAGAAGTGGCAGTCGGTGCACACCCTTACGGCGACTGCTCTCGGGCCGCCATTGCCGTTCGCCGTCCTGATACCGCCGTGGGGGGGGGGGGGGGCCGACACTCCAGTTCTTTTCGCTTCGTAGCCT